TCCCCTCCACCCAGCTGCAGGGCCTCCGTCTCGGCCCTGGAGTGGGGCCTGGGAGGACGCGGCCAGGCGTGGTGGAGTGGCCTCTTACTGGGTGGGAAGCTCCTCGAGGCCCAGCACTGGGCCCAGTCACCCCCAGACGGCAATGACACCTGCCACCAACCCCGGAGTCGGTGACCCAGTGTCAACCACGGGCAGAAAATGCTAAATGAAAAATTCCAGAAACACACTCTGCGTAAGTTTGAGGAACTTGACGGAGCACGTCATCACAGAGCGTCTGTTTTACCGTCAGTCGTCACCGTGAGCTCCTGACTTTTAATTGACATTTATCGTAGGTCGTAGCGCCACACAGGCCCCAGGCTTCGCTGCAGACAAGGTGTGGACTGTCCATTTGTTCATTTAGACAAGAGTCCCCGCCCTGTGCTGGACTCCGGGAGTCCAGCAGGAACAAGGCCCGCGTGACCTCCTCCTTCCCTCACTCTGCTCTGTGACAGTTTAGATATTCAAAGTCCCCAGAGGCCCCCGTGTGGAAGGCCTGGTCCCCAGCCTGTGGTGCTGTGGGAAGTGGTCGACCTTAGGTGGTGGGACCTAGTGGGAGGAAGTTAGGCCACTGGGGACCCTTGAAGGGGATGTGGAGATCTTGGCCCCTTCCTCTTTCTTCACCTCCACTCTAAGGTGAGCAGCTTGCTCCACGTGTCCCCACCATAGTATGCTGCCTCACCACAGGCCCAAAGAACTAGGACCAACTGATCATGCACCGGAATTTCTGACCCTATGAGCAGAATTAAACCTTTCTTGTTTTTAAGTTTATTATCTCCAGTATTTTCTTACAATAACAGAAAGCTGACTAACATGTGTTCCAATGAAGGAAACAGAATAAACAAATAAATACATGCTCTAATATTTAAATAAATGAATGACTCTCCTTTGGACCTATTTTTGAAAGAATAATGAACATAGCAGGTCCTGTAGGAACTGCCGCCTCAGATAGCTACGTTGACATGCAGTTGTTTCATCCACGAGCTTCTTTCTCTTGATCGGAGCCCACTTCCACAATTGGATAAAGAACTATACTTTCAGTAATTCTCCCATTTTCAGAGCTTCCTGAGAAAAGCCTTGTCCAGGCACATGGACAGGGTGACTCATCCTCACTATTTTTGAGTCTCCATCAGCAGGTTACATTTGGAGCATTATTTAAGTGACCAGTCATATCTATAAAATAATCCCAGCGGCTCGAGGGACTGAGGCAGGAAGATCGCAAGTTCTAAGCCAGCCTCAGCAACAGCAAGGCACGAAGCAACTCAGACCCTGTCTCTGAATAAAATACAAAATAGGCCTGGGGATGTGGCTCAGTGGTCAAGTGCCCCCGAGTTAAAAAAAAAAAAAAAAAAGAATCTCTTTCACCAAAAAATTACCTAGAGATAATTACTCTGATTTATCACACTCTTGCCTTCTTCTTCCACCCTGATCCTTACTCAGATCCAAGAAAATATTTTATAGCTAGCGTCTCTGAACTAGAGAATGTAGTTGGTCTGAATCCAAATCGAGTTTTTCTATGCACATTTTAAGCTCTTAAATATTCTATTGCCAGCAGAACATTCAGAACATTCATCCAGAAGCATAAACCACGTGGCAGTTTGATCTATTGTTGTGATTATGATCTATTATTCTGATCACTCACACATTCTCCCCAGCCCCCGATTGCACGTGCACAGTGATTTGCTCTCAAAGGCCTTGTAGCTGCCTCAGGACCCCTAGACAATGCCGCCTGGCGGTCGGAGCCACCTGGGCGAATTAGCAGCCGGGTTGTTACCTCAAAGCAACTGCTCTTCCCAGCACCATGAGCTCTCCTACAATCCGAGGCCGTTCCATTACACAGCATAATGGGCAATCAACATCTTGGGATTTCTGCCAATTAGAGACAATATGGATACTTATTTTGTAATCAAAGTAATAAAGAGGCTTGGAAACTATTTGGAGTTTCCCTGCCACCTGAAATCCGACAGCTCTGCTACTTAGGTTGAAATAGCGTCGGAGCCAGACAGCACTGAGCTCTGTGAGCTCCTCTCTGCATAGTGCCTGCAGTGTCCTGCACACAGAAGATCTAGAGATGTAGAAGCACTTCTGTTTTAAAATCCCAAGTGTCTTTGATGGGACAGTTGCATTTCCCTCACAGAGAACAGAGAGAGGGATTTTTTTTTTCATTTGACATTTTCAAAGCACAAACGTGCTAAGGTGTACCCCGGGGATGGTGGGGAGTAGAGCAGCTCATTCTCCCCCTTCTGGCAGACACCCCTTCTCCGGTGTCTCAGATGCCACGTAGAAAAAGAAAGTGCAGCTTCCCCAGGAGTCGTAGATCCAAACCACCTTGGTGCAGAAAGGATCCATATAAACTGTCAGACTGCCAGTCTGCCACCAGCGATGACCTCGGGCTTCCAGAGAGAAGCCCGGACCGAGGGCTGTGAGCGCCATCTGGTGGCCAGGCGTAGCACACCCTCGCGGCGTTCCCTGAGCCTCCCTGACCCTCTGTCAGCCAGGCCCTGACACCCCGCGGTGAATCACAGCAATCAGGCTGGTGTTGAAGGCTGACAAGGCTGACAAAGGCACGCAAAATCTTGTCCATCCACCTTCCTTCCTCAAGACAGACCAAAGGCTGAAGCCATCGCCCCGTGGAGTGACCATAGCTAACCCCCGCAAGCTCTGGGGACTTGTCACCATGCTTTTGACAATCCCCTGGGATCAGGACCATTGCAGCTGTACAGAAGGAGCCAACGAGCCGGGACTCGGCGTCCGCCCCGTGTTCACACAGCCTGAAAGTGGCCGCATCGGGACAGAAGGTGGCCCAGCCCGAGCTGTGCCTTCTGGCCCCCAGCCTCAACGCCGGGTCCCGGGGGCATGGAGAAGACAGCAAGCCCTGGGGCCCACACCTGAAGACTAGCTCTGAGCCAGAACTCGCCCTGTCGGGCTGTGGGCACCCAGCAAGCCACCCACCCCTCACGTCCCGTTGCTCACTTGGAAAACGGAGAGAGGACGCAGCACCCTCCGGGATGCTCTGCCGAAGGTGCAGTGTGTGCCAGGGCCTCGGAGCTGGGGAGTGTCCCGGACACGAGCCTGCATGGTTGTAAGAGGGTCTGTGAGCCCTGAGGGGTTCTTGTCCCACACGCCCAAGGGACAGAGTGACAGAGGTGGGACTCCAGGAGCTGACTTATTAGAAGGCAGCTGGGAGGGCCCCGCGGCACGCACGGGAGGGTTCTGCCGAGGGCGCCCGAGTCTCCAGGAGCTGGGCCTCCACTGAGAAGCCTCTCCCGAGCGTTCTCCTTCTCGGACTCCATCAAGGTGTGCACTGAGTTCTTCTTCCCACCATGGATGGTGTAATGTGTTAACCCGAGTTTGACTGCACTCATTCCTTAAAACGAAAGAATTGCTGGGGTTCAGAACAACTCCTTGGGGCTGGCCAATGAGAGAGAGTGGAGGGAGCTGGGGGTGCAGCAGAGTGTGGGGGTGTCCCCCGTGCGCGCAGGCGATGGGGGTTTCCAAACGCCAGGCTGACAAAATGAAATAAAAATACACTCTAGCCTGGAGCTGCAGTATCTGCGGGGGGATCCCATTCTCCAAGATCCTCTTTCCTATCCTCTCTCCTGCCTTCTTGTCCCTGCAGGGAACTAACTTTGTCCCCCACCCCCCTCTCCGGAGCTCCCCCCCATGCAGCCTGTGCCGAGAGCCCAGAGGGCACGGACCCCCATGTTCCGGAGGCTCCCTCCCCTGTGGCAGCTGGGCCCTTTGTGGGCACCGAGACAAGACCGTGTGTTGGCCACGTATGACGTGGTGGTCACTGCAGGAGCCGGCCTCCCTCTCCCTTCCACGCAGCAAAGCTAAAATGCCTGGCTTCCCCGACATCTGCCCCCGAGGGCGGGCATCCCGTCCAGCTTCAGGGAAACCCCAGTGTCTGGGACCTGGGGCGCGCCCTCTGACGTGCGTGCCGCCTCCCCCACAGATCGAAGTCCTTCAGAAGGGCTACAGCCAGATGCTGTGCAAGACGCTGTCCGAGCGGAACTCCGAGATCACATCCCTGAAGAATGAGGGCGAGAACTTAAAGAGGGACCACACCATCACGGCAGGTGAGCCCCCTGGGGGTTGCGGTCAGAGCTGCCCTCCTCCGCCCAGGTGGAGCTTGCGGGCAGCGGGGCATCCCCAGCCCTTGCACAGCTGAGAGTCACAGCTTGTCCCCAGAGAGGTCTTCTTGCCGGCCAGCTCCTGGAGCAGCCAGCTCAGGCAGCCCACGGTCAGTGTCTGAGCAAGTGTGATCCCTTGGGCAGAGGCCCGCTGAGCCCTGACCTCAGCAGGGAGAACGCAGGACACCACCTGGGTCCCGCTGTCCCCCGAACCTGTGTTTTGTAAATGCAAAGTAGAAAGTGGAGGAGGTGAGGTCATGGCTTTAAGGCAGGGCCTCTGGCCGCTTCTGCCCCGTGCCCTTGGGCACAGTGAAAACGTTGTGCTCACTGACAGCAGAGGCAGGAAGGACCAGGGTGTCCCAGGGGTCCCCAGCCCCCCCGCCGGGCCCAACCCAACCTAAGGGAACCCCCCCCCCCCCCAATCCAAAAAAGGGCCGAACCCCCCCCAGGCCAGTGCTGCTCTGGCGCTGGGCAGAAAGCCCTGAGGGCCGGCTGTGATCCTGTACTTGCGGGGCTGACATTTGGGGGAGAGCGAGACCTTAACCAGCCCACTCCAGGGAGAGCCAGGCCACAAAGGAGGCGACGTGGTGCTGGAGGGCAGAGAGGGCAGGAGCAGGACGGCCCAGGGTCTGCGGCGGTGTGGCTGGGCCCGGGCCACGCGTATTCCGTAGAGGACATGCCTGGTACCACTCCCCCATGGCTCCCAGCTCTGTTTTGGGACCCAGGTGCAGCTTTTGGTGATCTCATCCATGGGTGAGAAAGCAGGGAATGGCCTTAAAGGACCCTGGACACAGCAGGAAACACCTCCCTAGCTGTACCCCAAGCCAAACATGAATCCTGGTCCCATGGACCTGAGGGCTGAGCCCCGGGCTGGCCTGTCCTGCATCTCATTCCACAGTTCCTCCTCCAGGCCTCTGGCTCTCCCTCGTGGGAAATGTCCTCTGACACCTGCTGGGTGCATTCTGTAGTCTGGAGGAGGAGCTCCCTGGGCCCTGCCTCTGTCTGTCTGTCCTATGTCGGTCAGGCTTCCAGGGATTTCAAAGGCGCGCTCTGGGGTAAGAAGAGCTAGGCTAGGTTGTGCTGCAGTAACAACAGTCCCCAGGTCTCAGTGGCTTACAATAGGCAGACTCATGCCCCACTTCTGCCTTGGGCCCATCCTGGTGGAGCAGGGGCTTCATTAATGGTAGCCACTCAGGGACCCAGGCGGACGGAGGCCAGCACAGCAGACCACAGATCTCACCTTCCATGGTAAGAGGGCCGATGGAGGATGGAGTGACAGGAACTAGATTTACTCTCCCTCCTGAAACAATTTTAAAAAATCCCACATCAGAAAATACAGCTCAGACCCCATGAAGCAGATGACAGTGATCCTACAGAGACGGGGACAAGCAAGGGGAGCCCAGCCTGCTCCTCAGGTGGGGACAGTCCACAGCCAGGAGAGGAGCCCGGGCAGAGCCAAGGTCTCCTGAGCTGAAGTGACGGGGTCGGAGGAGCCGGCACAGCTGGAGTTTGCTGGCAGAGTGCCAGGAAGGAGGCCACCCAGAAAGGGCCCTGGATCTGCAGAGGGTCCCCTGAAGTCCCCAGGAGTCGGCCCTGATGGACATGTGCCTGTGAGGCCTGGGAACGGTCCACCTTCCCGACGTCCAGGATCCACGGAGCGTCAGCCAGAGACTCAAAAGGGGCCGTCTCAGTCGTGAGGCCAGATCAGGTCCAGACTGAAGGCCTCCCGGTCCCACCTGCGAGCTCGCAGGCAGGCCCTGAGGGACCAGCCCGTCCCTGAGTCACTTACCTGGGTGCCCCGACAAAGCTCATTTTTAAAATGAAATTCTGGATCACGTCGTTCCTCATCGCAGAGACCTGTTTGAATGATCTCTGCTAACAAAGCGGGGACAAATGTCCTTCCAAGAAAAGAGCCATCTGGGACGACCCAACACCAGCACACTCACGAGGCTTCTCCCGTTTCCCTTCAGTGTGGAGACATAAGAGTGTGTGGGTCATGAGTTAGTCCAGAAAAGAGTGGGCAAGATAACCCGAGTTACCTCACCCACGCTCGTGGCTCAGGAATGGGGTGATGCAACTCTGGCTTGGGGTCTCACGAGGCTGTGGTCTCAACGTGGCCAGGAGCTGCTGTCTCCTCCGCCAAAGGTCCCCTTCCAGAATGATCCATGTGGCTGTCGGCACAGCAGCTCCTTTCCCCAGAGCAAGTGATCCAAGGGACAGCAAGAGGAAGCCACTCACCTTTCACAGCCCGAGAAAGCCGCATCCCACCACTGCAGGACACTAGATTGGTTACACACCGTGTCACCTTACTGGGGCTGGGAGGGGCAGCTCAAGGGCGTGAATCCGAGGAGGGAGGGAACACTGGCCACCTTGGTAAGCACTGTCAGCCGCTCCACCATCAGGTACTGGGCACCAGCACTGTCAGCCGCTCCACCATCAGGTACTGGGTACCAGCACTGTCAGCCGCTCCACCATCAGGTACTGGGTACCAGCACTGTCGGCCACTCCCTGTGTCCTTTAGCCCCGTTATCTCCTTCCGCCCTGACAAACCTACAGACAGCTGCCTGGGGGTCAAGGTAGCCCAGGCAGGACCCCTGGGCCAGGAGGTGGTAGAGGCAGGTTTCGGACCAGAGTGACTGAGTGCCCCCACCCATCACAGCCGCCAAGATGCACCCTTTGACCCCCGCAGTCTCCTGGTCTCTCTCAGCCCCTCCCTCCCCTGGGCCCTGCACCCCAGGCCCAGGGTGTGGCTATGCCCACGAGGGCCCTCACACGTGGTTCCTGCCTCCCAGGGACATCCACGCTGTCGGATTGCCCCCGAGACCGTCAGTGATGCCCAGTGGACACCATCTCAGCCATTTCGGCTTCTGAGTCCTTGGAGGCGACTCCTGCCCAGTGCCAGGGTCGTCCTCGGCTTGGCCAACAGCGATGGCAGTGGCCGCTGTCCTTACGGCTTGTTTGACCCTTTTCTACAGGAATGGTGACATCTTTGCAGCAAGACATCTTGGTGAGGACTGAGCAAGTTCAACAGCTGAAGGAGGAGGTGAATCAGCTGAAGAGTCAGAACAAGGAGAAGGAGCACCAGCTCGAAGCCCTGAACTCCAGGGTGAGTGGCGGCCAGAGCCGCTGGCGGGGTCCCGGACACGCTGGCTCTCGCCTGGGCCCTGGCTTTAAATTTCGCTGCCTTCTCTCTGCATGGGGGGTCGGGTCAGCGCCCAAGGACATGAGGAGGTGGCCACGGGCTGCTCCCAGACATAAAATCGTTTCCGCCAACAAAGACTAAAAGAGGAGGCCGAGTTCTCTGCAGCTTTCCACGGAATCGTGGGCAAGTAGCTCAGCATGAGCCAGACGGGAATTCTAATCCAGCCGCGTCCCCAGCGCCCCTTAGAAACTTGTTGGCTTAACCTATTAGCATGTGGTTCCATGGCGAGAAAATCTGGGATTTGACGCGCAGGATCAAAGCAGAGTAGTGTCCCGTCCCGCAGTGTGCAGAGGGCGCCCGTGGGCCTCGCCTCCTCGTTGGCGTCCGTGCAGGTGAGGATTCCTCCAGGGGAAGCCATCTGGGGGCAAGGTCAGAACATTCGAGGGTGATTTTGACTCTGGATTTTGCCCACAGCCCTGGCTGGAGAGTCCAGGTCCGTGAGGGTATGACCTCTGCATTTCTTGTCGACTTTGGAAAGCCAAGGTGAAGCCTGGGAGCGCTCACCTCCGGTGGCCAGCAGATTACCAGGCTGCAGGATCCATGGGCCCCCTCTGTGTGGGCGCCAAGGCGGGACCAGACCTGCCCGGTTCTGTTCAATGCCATGTCCAGCAGCCAGCTTGGAGCTGGGGACGGGAGAGCAGGGGCTTGGCAGCAGGCCAGGCTCCGATCCGGGATTGCTTTATTAGAACTGGCGCAGCCTCCGCGGCCTCATGGGGAAATGGGGGAGACAAAACGCAGCTGAGAAGCAAGGCTGTGAGCCTGCCCGCCAGCCCTCTGCAGCCCTTCTTCCCGAGCAGATGGACTGGGGGATGGACCAGGGTGAAGGGAGCAGGGAGGCAGACCCCCTGGGCTCTTCTGCCTCCTGAGGGCATCTGGGTGACTTTTGTCCCCATGTCCCCTTTCAGAGCTCTCTAGCCCAAGCCTGCCCTTAGCATCGGGCTCCTCGTGACAAAAGACATTAGGATCTTGATGCTTGTCTTTTTTAGAAAATTGCATGTGTCATGTGTGTTCACTTTAGAAAAAAAAAGGAGTAGATAATAGTAGATAATAGATATATTAATATTTTAGTGTATCTTCTCTCCGTCTTGTTTCTAAGATACCTGAATTTTATAGTGAATTCACATCAGGCATGTGTCTGTGCACCTGAAACACCTCCCGTTTTTCCACATTTTGTCACTGGTCTTAAGAGCTCCGGAAGGTTCTCCAGCGAGCGCACACTGTGACGAGCACCCTCTGTTGCTGGACGCGTTTCTTTTTCTTTCTTCTTTCTTCCCTCCCTCCCTCCCTCCCTCCT